ATTTGCTTTTAGTTGTTTTTATGAATATGGACAATATTTTCTGAAAGCAAAAAATTCTTTTGATGAAAAATGAATTTTTAATACAATTATGTTATTTCTTAATTATAATAGATTTTTATATTTAAGTTGTTAAAATATTCTAAAATCAGCCACATCAGGTTTCCTAAGTGTCCTTATGAGATAAATCTTTTTTTTTTTTTTTTTTTTTTTAGCATGTTGTAAATTGTATCATTTTGACTAATCAGAAGATCTGCAGTAATTAAGAAATGTAATTTTGTGTTTATAATCAAGCTGTAATTATAAAGTACAGAAGATCAACCAGAATACAATTAAGTTGCGTTATTTGAGTCAAGCATTCTTCTCCACTGTTAAGGCCTTTACTTTTGCGAAACACATGTAGAGAAGTTAATTTGATTTTTCAATTTCAACTGAGAAGGGTACCTACAAGTATCATTATCATCTTATGAAATTTATATGATCTTATTTTTATATTAATCTCAGTTATGACATTTTTCCATAAATGAAATATCAAAATTAATAATAAAATGAATGGAAATACAAATAACACAGTAACATGTAATAAATGTACATAAAATTATAGTATTTTATAAACACTTCTGATAAAATTTCATAAGAAAGGTACCTATAAATTAATTAGATACCTTTCTTATAAAATATGAAATTTAATCTCACTCTTAACAGTCTTATTTTAATTTCTTTATAATATATTTTCCATAAAGCATCGTAAAAAAGGTGAAAGGTGAAAGCTAAAAAAAAAAAAAAAAATTAGAGCGCTAAAAGTTTTTCCTTAAAAATAACGAGGTAAATAATTTGTTCACTTAAATGTAAATAATTTCACTTTTTTTCTCCTTCCGTAGAACAAATTATCCCTCATGGAATCCATCAATATGTCATTCATCACCTGTCAAGTGACACAAATGTTTATGACCTGCTTTGTTTTATTTTCAAATTACATCTTTTTTTTTGCAGAAGCTAAGTTAAGTTTGGTTCAAAATATTTTAAATAAACATTATAATTTCTGATTTTCTTAAAATAAGTTTTGAAAAAAAATGATAATTGATATTTAAAAGAATTTCAAAATGAGATTTTCATTTTTTTTTATAAAAAAAAAAAAAAAAATGGTCAATTTGCTGACTCAAAAAAAAAAAAAAAAAAAAGATTTTTAATGAAAATTTTGGACATGCTAGGAACGATTAAAAAATGTAAAAAAAAATACCCCAAAAATACTTTGATTTTTCCTCTTAATAATAACATAAACATTTAGACGATAAAATTTTGTTTTTGTCAAGTTTGATGTCCTTTTTTTCATCATGCTATGCTCTTTTTTTTTTCTTTTTTTTTTTTAGCAATCTCGTAGAGGTACCTAATATATATATATATATATATATATATACACACACACACACAATATTATTTCCCAAACTTTATCTTATTTAGATATGTAAAATTCACATGTAAAAATATGCTGGTTATTAAAAAAAATACTCCCTAACACCATGGAAATTTTGCTTCATGTTATTTAAGTTTTGTAGGTATTAACATGTTTATTAATTGATTGTTTATATTAACCTCACATAATATTTGTTCTCTCTTTTTATTATTGAAACTAAATATGGGTAGCTAATGTCCTCATTTTAGCCATTTTGTATCATTAAAAAAAATGATTTGCTTCATTTGGTATACCAACCAAAAACCTTTTAACAAACCTTGAAAGTAACTTTTTTTTTTTCTTTTTTTTTTCTTAGTAAGCAGTTTAAAATCTGAACAAATATGAAATTTGTCTTCTGCTTTAAAAGTCTAACTTTAATTATTTTTACAATCATAGGTTTACAAAAATAATTTAACCAATATAAACAGTAGTTAGTCATCATTTGACTTTCAAGTAACCTTAATATAAGTATTTACTATCATTTTCACTTAATATTTGATAATGCTCAAAGTAATTTAAAACTTTCCTTGCTGTAGAATTTTTGTTGGAAAACTATGTAAATATTAAACAAATTTTAAATGAAAGGTAGTTTTAATGAGTGGTTAACTTGTGTATAAAATGTATATTCATGTCAATTTATTTTTGGATAAGAGTTGTAAAAAAAAATATGTAATCTGGTTTTAACTATCCCAAAATACAAAATGCTTTATCTTGCATCTTAATGGTTACTTAGCAACTTCTTAAAGATATGACTAAGATGCATTTACAGTCTTTAAGTAAATTATTTTATTTGTTTATTTAAGTTTATATAAACTTAATTGGCAGCAGTTAACATAGTTGGTATGGAGATTATTGGCAGGATAATCTAAACTTCATTAGAAAATATTTGTTTGTAGTTATATTCAAACCAAAACAGAATTATTTAATGGATTAACATTTTCAATTATGAGGATTTGTGAAGCCAATCTCCTCCTGTGTGGCATAGATGGCATTTGATCTATAGATTTTAGAGCTTCCCACTAATGTGTTTTGCAGCTGATGCACTGGGTAAATGAAAAATTAAGAAATAGTCTATGATGTTACTACTAGAACACTTGGGGAGTGAATGGCTGAAAATACTATCCCTTTTTAAGACTATATATCATCAATAACATAAAGTTTAAGAGACCTTACTACTCGGCATATTATGATGGCTTGACTTTGAGTCAAGATTTTGTATTGGGTTTTCCACTATACCTCTCATTGGACTATCAAATTTGTGCTACAAGTTTTAAGGTGAAAAGTGGCATGCACATTACCAAATCCCCACTCTTAAGCAGAGGTTTATGTTCTGTGTCCCATTGAGATGGGTAATTGGCAGTAATATCCTGTGGTCATGTGTTTTCTGTTGAAGTTACATTGTAGGCAGATGTCCATGATGAGTTTAGGGGGTCTGCTGTTCATCCAAAGATGTATTGTTAGCATGGCTGAAATGAGTAGATTGAAGCTCAGATTCTAGTATCACCACAACAAATTGTAGTTTATTTATAGATTTTCTTTTAGTTTCAAACCTTTTTTTTTTTTCATGTGTCTACATCACTTCTAACTTTTTCCCAATGTTAGATCTTGGTGAAAATTGCAAATACATCTGTATGAAAGAGACTGGCTTTTTAGACATGTGACTACACAATGGTTAATGACAACAATAATAGCAGGAGCAATCATAATTAATATAAAAATAAAGAAACAGTGGCCAAAACCTGTTAAAAACTCTCCCTTTCATTTCTACACAGCAGCCAAATATTAAAACAAAAGTATATTGTATATTTCAATTTTTTTTTCTATGGGTTTATGAAGACATAAAAATTCAATTTCATTATTACTGTACAAAAAAAAAAAAAAACATTAAAAAGTTTCAAATATTGTAAAATATAAGCAATAAGATTTTAAAATTAGAAAATATCTGAATAGTTATGAGACTCAGTTGAGTTAGAGCTTTGATTATTGCTTCAGTTGTTCATCATACATGTTGTATTACTATGTTCAATGTGTAGAGTAGAAATGGAAGGTCTCATTAGATAATGGGGGATTTCCACAAGCAGACATAAGTTACCTCGTCCAATGTTACATAAACAGCTGTGTGGCCAGGGGCCAGTTTTTTTTTGTTTTTTTTTTATTTTGATTTTGTTGGTATGAGAATAAAATAATTGAGAATTACTACTATCATTGTTGTGGTTATTTTACATGGCACTGTGAACAGAATCTAGTGAATATGTGGAACTATCTTAACAAAATAAGACATGGCATCTGCGCCAAGCTTAACTATCAATTTGATTGCTCAACTCATGCAACAAATGAAAACTATTGTGCTCCAGAGAGACAGAACCCCTAATATGGTGCAAATGTCCAGGATCTGGGTATGTCTCCTGCTATGATGTTATACAGTCATGTTATTAAAGACCACCTCCTTGTCCTATGAGACAAACACCAGATACATAAATAGGAGAGAAATTGGTGAACTGAGAGAGGCAGCAATGGCTGAAAGGCACATGCAGAATGAACACTTTTACAATGAACATCAACACCCACTTCATAAATTACAAATTGGCGATTCTGTTCAGAATCAGGATGGCCCTTATCCTTGTCATTGGACAAAAACAGGGAGAATTATGGAGATACTCAGTAACCAGCAGTACAATGTGCGGGTGGATGGAAGCAATTAGGTAACTCCATGCAACCATTGTTTCTGCTGTAAGATCCACCCAGTTATTGACATCTCATATCATTCTACACAGGGAGTGGGTCCCTCAATCTCATAGCACCCTGATTTACAGCCAGTTCAAGATAGCAGTATGGAAAATAGATTAACCACATCTAGGCCAGAACTATATAATACCTCTGCATGTCCTGGGGTCCAGCCTTAGTGACCCAGTGAATTCTCTATGGTGATTGACACTGATTATCATTCCTTATTACCCAACATGCAACATAAACCAAATACCACAAATGATGAACCAGAAGACATGGAAATTGACAACACTGCAGATTTCATAGGCTCAATACAAAATATTGGGTAACACCAGCCCCAAGTCAATTAATGATGAAATGAAATGCAAAAGCACCTCAAATTTTACAACAAATGGAAGGTCTCATTAGATAATGGGAGACTTCTATAAGTTACCTCGTCCAGTGTTATATAAACAGCTGAGTGGCCAGATATATTTTTTTTGTTTTTGTATCTTGTTGGTACGAGAATAAAGTAATTGAGAATTACTACTACCATTGTTGTGATGGTTATTTTACACAAATTCACATGTTAGTCCGTTTTTCTTAAAGAAAATAAATTTAAAAAATTCTCTAGTATCTGCAAATATTTTTTAAACTTTAAGCATTTTCAGATATTTCTTCACAAGCAATAAATAAATCAGTGCCTAACCATAATCCTAGTATTTTGGAGGAAACATTGTTTACTCAAAATAATGTGTTAATAAATGTCAATGAATTTAATAATAAAAATAATTTTTTCTTAATGTATTTCCTTTTAATTTAATTTATTTTTTATTGACTTTAGGCTACCAAGATGGCCAGTTATTCCGGACATAAGAAATGGTGCAGCCAATTATTCATTGTCTTTACAATTACCTGGTATGTTGGGCGACTGTTCATCTTTCCTTACAAGTAAGTGAATCATTCTATTAATAAAATTAAGTACACTGGTGATGCATACAAAATTAGCCCTTATAAGAACAAAGGTTGGTCTCATGTAGTTATAAAAAAAAAAATAATCACTTGTCTATTTTATCAAGATAAAAAGTTAAGTTTTCTTTATGTAGTCATTTGCTTTCTCCAATGTCATTTTGTAGTAGTAGTGAAATAAAAAGTCTCTCTCTCATATATATATATATATATATATATATATATATATATATATATGTCCTCAATTTCCAATTCATATTGTAATCATGGGTTATATTTATAATATTGTCCTGGATTATACACTGTGGAACCTGTAGTTATAGGTTAACTTTATTCAAGAAAGAATACTCCTTTTCTCTATTGCAGAAATTTGTAAATCGTTCACCCAATACAAGGCCCATGAGCCATTTGAAGTAGATTCATGTAAGTGGGGGAAGTAAGGAGTGCAGTTTAACAGTAGGAAAGATAATGGTTAACCACCCTAGATTAAAGAGGTTGAAATTGTAGTAATCAAGGAAGCATCCTCTCCGGAATCTGTTCTAAAAAAACTGGTTCATGGGTAGAAGCTGTTGAAATGAATTTTCCTTCTTGCTAACAAAAGGGAATGGGGATGATATGTTTCAGTATACATGACATGGTGGGTCTTAGCTGTGAAGGTCAGGGCTGGTGGAACATTTGCCAGGGAAATAGCGAGAGCCTTGTGAAATTTCATCTGTGGGATAGGGGTTGTAGAGTGGAAAATAATTTGTCAACCACTTGGCAACAAAGACACTTCTGAACTTTATCCTGGCTGGGAAGTGAGTACTGGTAAGCTCTAGCCCAGGTACACAAACAGTATTCCATTTTAGGTCTAATCTAGCTCTTGTAAAGGTAAAGCATAATTTGTTAAATATTTGATTGAGCTAAATTTTGGATAATAGATGTTGAACATGAAAGTATAGTAAGTTTTTTGACAATTATTTCTCTTAATGCACTTTTAAAAAAAAAAATACTTATTTCATTGTAATTATCTGGAAAATTAATTACTAGAAAATATTTCTTAAATTAATGTTTTTCTTTTTTCTTGCAGAATCCTCTACAGCACTTTGTTTTATGCAGTCACTGTCACTGGCATGGCCCCTATTTACTATTTGTACAATGGCCTCTTGGGGTCACTGCAACTGCTGCACATCATCTGGTCTATCATCATCACCAAGATGCTCTTCTATCGTCTACGAACTGGTGAGGTAAGAACTGTTTGTGTTTTTTTTTTTTTTTTTCTAGCTTCTTTCTAGATTTGTAAATCCTATCCTCTTACTGAAATGCATTTTATAAATTACCTGTTCTATCAAAAATTTACAAGACATTTAAATCCTTTTTGCAATTGAGCTTGCACAATATCAAAAACTTTATGCTTTGTGCATCTTGTATGTTAGACCTATTGAAGGTAGCAATTGATCTCCTATATTTTTTATAAATGAGAAAAGGTGAAACTAATTTCTAATAAATAGATATTAAAACATATCTTACTTTAAAAGTTTATCTACAGAGCTAACTGTAATTTAACAGTTATCATTATGTTTCTATTATAAACAGATCTTATTTCTATTTCATCACCAGAAAAGTTCACTACATACACAAATAGTGAGATCTTCTGATGTGAATATTTTTACACACACACACACACACTGAGAAAAGGTCTCAGTCCAATCAAGACAAGAAGGAATTATAAATTGGGTCATATTTTGAGAAGTAAGCCAAGTAGAGAACTTTTCAGCACTCCTCTGTGTGTTATATTGATATGTAAAAAGAGCATTTCTTGGATTGAAGTTTGTTCTGTCTAGTCATTTCAATTGATCTTTCCTGCTGTCCTGGACCCCACTTTACAAGATGAAATATTGCAAGTGTGTGCAACCTCTTGCTCATTTAAAAGATCCACTCCTACACATCTTCCTTGAAAAGGACCCTCATCCCTTCAAATGGATAGCAAGGATGTGAATTTTAAAACATTTTTTTAGATGAATTTTCACTATTACTAGTTTTATTCACTTTTGTTTTTCATAACTCTGCTTTGAAAAACTCCTCAGCTGTTGATACAAACACTATGAAATCAGAAATAAAAGCAGAATCTAATGAGACGGAACAGAACTTAAATCTTGTCATTGTTGCCTATTTCATCTGATTCTTCACATTATCTTCCATTTTAATAATTTGAAAGAAACATTTCTGATTTCATGTTATTGGCTCTAAATCTCAATTCAACTCGATGTGTTACAATCAAAAGCAAAACTAATAAAATGGTGCATTATGTAAAGTAGGTTAATTTTTATAAGTTACACATTATTTAGTTATTTCTCTATAAATGAAAGTTAAAAACAACTAAATGTGATAATTTTTCCCTGGGTTTTGATTTTTCTTTTTAAAGAATTATCAGTTATTACTTGGTTTACTATTTGAATTTTTTGTGTGTGTCATTATCACAAGTAACTGGTAATTGACAGGCATACTTTCAAATCACCTATCAAATGAAATTGTGTATGACTTTGAATTAGTAGCTTTCACAATAGATAATTACATAAAAGTAAGATTGATAGTCCTTTCTTATAGCTTCTTAGTTTGTCATTGTTATGCAACATTGGTAGGGGAGACAATATTTTCTTGACTTCATGCCTTCTAACATTTATAGTAGTAGTAGTGCAACTTGGCAGTAAAGTTCTTAAATTTTCTCTTGTTGAATCATTTCAGATAAATACAAGTCTTTATAAAGTTCACAAAAGTTCTGGACATTACATAATACACATTTTAAATTAATTTGACCACAAAGAAAAAAAAAATTAATCTTCTAAAATCTTTATTTTTTTTTTAATTAAAGAGCTGAAATGATTATTTTCAGTAATTTATGTGCAAGCAAATATTATATACTGAAGCAATCTAACCCAAATATTTCATATCCACATGAAATGTCTTCAACATGTTTGCACCTAAATCTGTTGAGTATTTTGAAAAATAATACCTGCAAACAGTTTTTTTTAAACTTATGCAGAAAAATATTTACTAGTGAGATCAGAGGTTTGACTTTCAAAAGATTCAATAATTAAGGCTACCTGGCTCTTATTTTAATTTCTCAAATGTCACTTGCATATTTTGTAAAATGTTAATTTTTATGGTACAATGATTTTTATTTTTATTTTTATTTTTTTTTTTTATACTATCAATTTTTGGCATAAATTCAGCATATGTCACTTTTTAGAATCCAAGCATTCACCGTAATTTGCACCATGTAACAACTTCTCCCCTTTAAAAATCCAACCATCAAAATCCAAATCAAAGGTCTTGGAAAATCTGATTTTCACTGGACAGACAGAGGACAACAGGAACAGGAAACAATGCATAACATACTTAGTGAGCTTTACTAAATGGATGTCAGAACAAAGTTTAGGAGAAATAAGACAAAATTTACTAAGAGCTACAAAAGACAGGTAGTTGTGTAGTCATGATCGCTTACATCCTAAGAGAACACAGCATATAGAAGAATCTGAGCAATATAAAAGTGAGATATTTATAAATTGCATAAAATCTAGATTAAAATTTGCACAAGAACATTTGGAGAAATTTTCAAAGAATATTCTTTCATTTCGTTAAACTAAAAATTGATTTTGACACTACAACTCTTTTCATCATTTGTGTAGAAAAGATGGTTAATTATCCCCAAGTGGAATATAATTGGAAGAACTTGAAATTAGGATAATCAGACAGGATGATTGGAATTCATACCAAGAACATAATCTAAAGTATATAACAAAAGTAAATTGAGAATGGTTTATAAAGAATAATGCAAAGGTGTTTCATTAGTCTCATCAATCCTCTAATTTCAATTTTATTGAAAATTTACAGCAGTGCTTCAAGAAACGTATTCATTAGACTTAGAAGCTTTCAAATCCACAAGATTTCTAAGTGAACTTAGATTCCCTAAGAATGCTATGAAGGGTCAGTTAAGTCTTCGGGTAATATCTTTTAAAAAAGAAATTGCTCACAAGTATTTTTCCAAATGAATGTTAGATTCAAGTTTGAATGCTTTTTCTACTTTTATTCCTCCTTTTTCGTACACCTCTGAATTTTTCTCTTTATTTTCATATTAAAATACTGGCTGATTTCAGGTAAATTTATGCTGTATAAGTTTAGTATATAAACATTTTTCTTAATATTTTTTTTTTTATATACTTTTATCACATGTACAAATGCATATGGAAATGTAGAAGTAAAGATTTTGCAAGTAAATTCCTTTAAAATAATTAGTCTTTGGGTGATTTACAGTAAGGTCAATTTTAGATTTTATTCTCAGAAATTAGTGGTAATTAGTTTTTGTTACTCTTTTGAAATTTATAATAGCAAAAATTAAGTAGAAGTGGAGATTAGTTATTTCTAATCTTTCTTGCTGTCTGATATTAACAAGGTACATATCAAGTTTTATGGTGATTGGCAGTTATTAAAGTTCTCTCTCAAATTACTCCTTTTTCTTCCCTCCAAAGAAAAGATCTTTTTCTTTTGTAAAACTTCACTTTTTATATTTATACACATACATACATATTCAAAATATCTAAGATTTTGTTAAATAACTGCTTCAGAAGTTACCAGGGTGTGATTAACACTTAAATCAGGTATGAGAGTTTGTAAATTAATATTTACTAAATTTGATTAGTGTGTTTTTTTTGTTTGTTTTTTTGTTGTTTTTATAAATAGCTTCACATAAATTTAAAATGGAAAAAATTTATAAAGTTTCATTGAAAGTAAGTTTCTACATAGGAAAGTTGCCACTGAACTAGAAATCTTTTTAAGTCTGTATGCTTTGCTCTAGTTTTATATAAAATTGTAAAGGCAACAAAAGAACAAGATCTGCAAGTTGGATGTCTTTTCCTTTCACAATTTCAAGTCATTTTTTAGCTATGTAAAAATCTGAAGGCTGTCTTTAGCATGTCAAGTATTTCAAAAATTTATTTAAAATTTGATGTTTGACACTTGAGTAAATTCATCATGAACATTCACTCAAAATTTCTATTTAAAAAAAGAAAATATTTTTTGTTTAGTGTGCTCTGTCAGTGTGGATATTTGCAACTTTATGAAACCAACAAATGCTTATTTTTGTTTTTGTGAAAAATGATGCTCTATACTAGATGTGTCAACAGGATTCACCTCAGGGAAATTATATGAAATTCTCTGGATACAAGATCTAGAAGATGTAAATACCCTCAATAAAATGAGAAAAGGGTGAATCAAACTGAGGGTAATGTCCAAGTATATTCATACACTCAATTGGTGAGAGAATTGAGTTCAAGGTAAATCCTATATGAATTCTAATCACCAACTTCACATTTCAGTTATTTCGTTTTATAAAAGATAGCACTGAATTTCATAGCATTATGTGATCATAGGAAAGCAGTACAAAAATTAATAATTTGATAACTAATTAAAAAAAAAAAAAAAAAAAGAAGAAACAAACTTGTACAGTTTACATTATTTGCACTAATGAAGAAAGTTTGTTACTAATTGAAGAGGACTGTCTTATTTAAGGTTTAAAATAAAAAAGGTCGGGGGAAAACAATGAAAAAATTCTGTTTTGGCTGAAGTTCTCCTTTTAGAAATAATGAAAATCTTCTATTTCTGTTTACATTGTTCAGTCTGTTGATCTCATTTTTGTTGCCATATTCACAACTTTTCGGCTGTTGTATACTCTGGCCTTCTTTAGGTGATTTTGCATTGAAAAGCTATGTTTCTCTTCACTTTATACTTTCAAACAACATATAATCATGATAAATAACAAAAATTTGAAGAGTTTTATGTAAACTTTGAGTAATGAACCCAAATCTTATGTATGTTCTTTAATCAGTTATTGTTTCTGGTTTAAGACTTGAATTGAATATTGTTGGTTGAAGCTGCTTATTTCCACCTACTGTTTGAGATATATATATATATATATATATAGCTAATATTAGTGGTAAATATACACATACATATGCAAAATATATATATACATAGGTGCATACACATACATGTATATTTTTTTGAATAAAAAATTCCAAGAGGATAGAATCCAGGTAGAACTCAATGTCCAGTACAGGGATATAATAAAAAGGCTAAAACACTAATATTCCATGGTCATAATTTATTCCATTGGAATCGTAAATACAATCCAATTCATCAGACCTACAAATTCAAAAAGAAAACAGAAAAAAACAACTCGGAAATAAAAATAGAATTTAGAGAGATGTAACTATATATGAGATTATGGGGACGAATGTTAGAGCTAAAGAGAGGGGTAACAGACGAGAGAAGTTTTA